TTCTGGGAGTTGAAGTCCACAAGTCTTAAAGTTGCCAAGTTTGGGAACCACTGGTTTACTGAGTTCCCTTCCTCCTTCAGGGCATCCTGCAGCTCTGGTAATAACTGGCACTTCCTGGCATTTTTTAGATTCCCCCCCCCCCAAAAAAACCCCCAACCATAAACTTCTTTGGCAAAGAATTAAAACAGCTCACATCAAGGGGAAAAAAAACCACATTACATCAGGAGTAACACGGGCTTATACAGAGGGAAGCCCTCTTTTTCCGCCTTTCAGACAATTTTTCTGGATGAATAACAACCAATCACTCCAATTCTACTCTGCCTGAGGAATTCAACATACGAATCCAATTAAATCATTCAGAAAAGTTCACTGCAACTTAAGTTTCTTTGGCAGAGTCTATTTTTCCCCGTTGCCCAACGTCACGGTGCTGGAAATCCAAACGCAGGACTCCAAACACGACTGGCAACAAACAGATAAAAGTGCCAACTTAAATCAGCCTCTCTTTAAATCAGGATTCCCCAAACTCTTTTTCCCCCCAACTCTACATGCACCCAAGTCCATCCCCTTCATCGACCCCCAAACAATTTATTACATGAAAACAACTTAACAACAACTACTTTAATAGTACTACAAATAATAATCCTGCTAATCCTCAACTTATGACCATAATTGGAATACCACAACTCTGGTCACCAAGTGAGACAGACATTAAGTGAGTCACACCCAATTTATTTATTTTAGTGAATCTGGCTTCCCTGGGAGAAACATTGGCTGGGAAGGTTGATCTTAATTATGAGCCACCCAAAGTTACTTTTCAGGGGGAGAGGAATGGCATAAAATGTAATAAATAAATGGGGAACATATGAGTCGAGGCCACTGCCTGAATTCTGATCAGGGGATGTTGTGACAGTTAAATATGAAGAACAGTCATAAGTCACTTTATTCAGTACTATCGTAACTCTGAACAGTCGCTAAACGAATGGTCGTAAGTCGAGGAATACATATAATACTGTAACAATAACACTGGATATTACATTGATGCTGCGCTAAACTCCTGAAGAATTAGGACAGTCCAGGGGTGGGTTGCTCCTGGCATTACTGCCGGTTCAGTGTGTGCAAATATTTTGCATACGCAAAACGTTAAAAAAAATTTTTTTGTGCCATTACAATTGTTCTGTGCATGCACAGAACCGAAAATCAAAATGGCGGCCCCGTAGGAGAACCAGTTCGGGGGCATGGCAGACCTGGGTCTCTGCCAGTTCCAGCGACCCAGGCCACCAAATCACTACCAGTTCGGCCGAACTGGTAGGAACCCACCTCTGGGACAGTCCCAATCCCAAGCCATTATTGACCCTGCCCCCTTTACACATGCCCCTCCCATGAACCAGACCCTCCCCCCAAAAATAAGACCCGTCCCCCCAAACCCCACCCACCGGAAGGACTTTCTAGGCTGCTCAGAGACCAGTCTGCAGAAAACAGCTTGTTTCTCCGCTTCTCTGGAGGACTGAGAAAGGTGGGAAAGGGGTACACAAGGAAAAGGACCCCAAAAATAGGTTTGTGAACTCACCGGTGGGCTTGCAGGTGGCTGCTTGGCTCGGGCACTGGACCCCCAAGTGCAAGGGCTGGTTAGCAGCAGCTGCCGTTCTTTCTGAGGTAGTGTGGTTGTTGAGATCCAGGGAAGGGGTAGACAAGGAGCACTGCGTCTGGCACCGCAGCTGCGTCAGCGACTGGGGCATGCCCTGGTAGTGCCGCGTGGCACTCAGGAGGTCATTGAGGATCTGCAGGATGGTGCCGATGTCTCGACGCGGCCGGCCGCTGCTGTCTTGGCAGTTGGGGTGCAAAGTGCCTGCAGGGTGTAGGGAAGGTTATAGCAGTGCTTAAAATCTATTGCGGGAAGCAGTATTGGTTTATAGCTGTGTTTTTCAACCATAGGCACTTGAAGGTGTGTGTGGACTTCATCTCCCAGAATTCTCCAGCCAGCACAGCTCCAGCCAGCGTAGCATAGCTGGCTGGAGAATTCTGGGAGTTGAAGTCCACACACACCTTCAACGCTATATGTTGCAG